TATAAATAAACCTCAAAGTGAAACTACGAAGTTTCAAATCTAGAACAAAGGTATAAAATATCTAATGTACACAATTTTTATTTTTAACATAAACGATAGAGAATTTCATTGATTAGAACAAATACATACAACCAACGTTACATCAAGGTGCCAAATGAGTGTAATTCTCCAGTGACCAAATATCTTTGACCTGGAGATAAATTCACACAAATTCGTAAATATGGAAAACCCCTACACGAGTACCACCACACAACAAGAACCATAAGCAACCAGTGTAGATCCTCTATAAAGATGGCGTACGTAATAGACCTAACACTGGAGCCACAAAAGTCATCGCAAGAATGAGGCTATAAACAACTCAGCGCAGCCTGCTACGCAGGACAAAACAATACAAAATGAAAAACTACCTAGTTAATCCGAGAATAGAACCATCAACTGACAAGTCTTCATGGTGAGGACTAGGCCTGGCAAACGGGTCGTGTCTGTCGTGTTCGTGTCGTTTTCGTGTAACACCTGTTATCTTAACGGGTTGTGTCGTGTCACACCCGTTATCTTAACGGGTCCTTAACAGGTCGTGTCACTTTACCCAACGGGTAAAGTAACCCGACCCGTTATGACCCGTTAAGAAAAAAATATATTTTTTTTAAATTTGCACATACCACACATTGCGACATAAATATTACTTGAAAACATTAAAACATTTCTCGTTCAAGTACTATATCTACACTCGAAAATGAAAGCCTAATAAAAAAAATAATACATACACTACTAATCTATTACAAATATTAAATGTGCAAGGATAAAGAGTTTTTGTTTTTAAGATTGTCCCGTTACTTGATCTCTGAATGTTTTTTTTTTGTGATTTTTTGCTGATGTGATCTCCAAGCATATACAAACAATTTTGACGGTTTGGATCGTTGAAATTAGTTTTGGAGAATTTGTAAAACGATAGATTGACTAACACTTAGAGTTTATTTATACTTTCATTAAGTATAACATAAGATTTTGTGGTATCCACTTGTGTAAATATTTTAAATTGAAGATCGAATTCATTCATTGTATTCATATAGGGTCAAGGAGTGTAGTTATAAAAAATCATCAAAATCGGAGTTAAAATAACCGTTAAATCGTGATTTTTCGTTTATAACCGTTGAAAAGCTTTGTCCCGTTACTTGATCTCTGAATGTTTTTTTTTTGTGATTTTTTGCTGATGTGATCTCCAAGCATATACAAACAATTTTGACGGTTTGGATCGTTGAAATTAGTTTTGGAGAATTCGTAAAACGATAGATTGACTAACACTTAGAGTTTATTTATACTTTTATTAAGTATAACATAAGATTTTGTGGTATCCACTTGTGTAAATATTTTAAATTGAAGATCGAATTCATTCATTGTATTCATATAGGGTCAAGGAGTGTAGTTATAAAAAATCATCAAAATCGGAGTTAAAATAACCGTTAAATCGTGATTTTTCGTTTATAACCGTTGAAAAGCTTTGTCCCGTTACTTGATCTCTGAATGTTTTTTTTTTTGTGATTTTTTGCTGATATGATCTCCAAGCATATACAAACAATTTTGACGGTTTGGATCGTTGAAATTAGTTTTGGAGAATTCGTAAAACGATAGATTGACTAACACTTAGAGTTTATTTATACTTTCATTAAGTATAACATAAGATTTTGTGGTATCCACTTGTGTAAATATTTTAAATTGAAGATCGAATTCATTCATTGTATTCATATAGGGTCAAGGAGTGTAGTTATAAAAAATCATCAAAATCGGAGTTAAAATAACCGTTAAATCGTGATTTTTCGTTTATAACCGTTGAAAAGCTTTGTCCCGTTACTTGATCTTTGAATGTTTTTTTTTTTTGTGATTTTTTGCTGATGTGATCTCCAAGCATATACAAACAATTTTGACGGTTTGGATCGTTGAAATTAGTTTTGGAGAATTCGTAAAACGATAGATTGACTAACACATAGAGTTTATTTATACTTTTATTAAGTATAACATAAGATTTTGTGGTATCCACTTGTGTAAATATTTTAAATTGAAGATCGAATTCATTCATTGTATTCATATAGGGTCAAGGAGTGTAGTTATAAAAAATCATCAAAATCGGAGTTAAAATAACCGTTAAATCGTGATTTTTCGTTTATAACCGTTGAAAAGCTTTGTCCCGTTACTTGATCTTTGAATGTTTTTTTTTTGTGATTTTTTGCTGATGTGATCTCCAAGCATATACAAACAATTTTGACGGTTTGGATCGTTGAAATTAGTTTTGGAGAATTCGTAAAACGATAGATTGACTAACACATAGAGTTTATTTATACTTTTATTAAGTATAACATAAGATTTTGTGGTATCCACTTGTGTAAATATTTTAAATTGAAGATCGAATTCATTCATTGTATTCATATAGGGTCAAGGAGTGTAGTTATAAAAAATCATCAAAATCGGAGTTAAAATAACCGTTAAATCGTGATTTTTCGTTTATAACCGTTGAAAAACTTTGTCCCGTTACTTGATCTCTGAATGTTTTTTTTTTTGTGATTTTTTGCTGATGTGATCTCCAAGCATATACAAACAATTTTGACGGTTTGGATCGTTGAAATTAGTTTTGGAGAATTCGTAAAACGATAGATTGACTAACACTTAGAGTTTATTTATACTTTCATTAAGTATAACAAAAGATTTTGTGGTATCCACTTGTGTAAATATTTTAAATTGAAGATCGAATTCATTCATTGTATTCATATAGGGTCAAGGAGTGTAGTTATAAAAAATCATCAAAATCAGAGTTAAAATAACCGTTAAATCGTGATTTTTCGTTTATAACCGTTGAAAAGCTTTGTCCCGTTACTTGATCTCTGAATGTTTATTTTTTATGATTTTTTGTTGATGTGATCTCAAAGCATATACAAACAAGTTTGACGGTTGGGATCGTTGAAATTAGTTTTGGAGAATTCGTATGCCATCAATCAAGTTCCGTGTGTATGTGTGTGTGTATATATATATATTTATTAAGTAGATTTAAATCTATTTATTTTGTACGTATAAATTATAATTGACTGGTACACGGAATAGTACATACATCACGTGTCACGTGTGTCATTATAAAAATAGTGAGATATGTCATGACAGTCATGTGTATGATAAAAAGTTAATAACTTAAAAAAAAAAAAAAAATTTCTCACCACTTCTATTAATTTTCATTTTTCCCTCTCTTTTTTGTTTCCTTTTCAACTTTTTTTCTTATCATTTTCACTTTTCCCTCCAACATCTTTCCCTAATTCCCTCACTTTTTTGTTTTATTTTCAACTTTTCTTAACATTTTCATTTTCCCTCCATTTTTTTTTTCAAAAAGGGCGGCAAGTTGGCAAATGGCAATGGTAAGAAATTGATTATTGAAATTTGAGAATGGAAACAAATCACATATGAGTCCTGACGCATCAAATTTCAATGGATGCAAAATCATGCAAATATGCAATTCATGATCATGCATATTAAATTATTAATTAATAATTATTATAGTTTTTATAAAATTTAATATATATATATATATATAATTAGTATAGATAGACTTAATATTTCGGGAGTATAATTATTATAGTATATATAATTATTATAAATTTTATAGTTAATTTAATATATATATATATATATTTATTATAATTTTTAGGGGTATAAAATTGTAAAACTAATGTATATAATTATTACAGTATTTTTTTAGGGTTATAAAATTATAAAAATAATATTCTGCTTATCGTGTATCGTGTTTACCCACGTGTATACCCGACCCAACCCGTTATCTTAACAGGTGCTTATCGGGTTACCCGATAAGACCCGATTCGTTATCGTGTCGACCCAAACACCTGTTAATTTCGTGTCGTGTCGTGTCGGGTTATCGGGTCGTGTCAGAAATTGCCAGGCCTAGTGAGGACAAACCCGCTTATAGAGAGATTTATAGCAGCCATAGTGGGACAAACCACCATAGATGACGCTAGGTAAGGTAACTTAGTCACAGTTGGCCGAGTAGTGCACATCTATTGTGGAAAACAAGCCGTGTGAGATGTATCTGACCACCACAACCATTAATCCTTACCCAAATCACAAATAATGCCCAAAATCAGAGGGCATATCTCGAATTTAGGAAGAAACTCCAAAAAAATCGAAGGGTTGTTAGCAAAAATGGTGGGAAAAGGAGAGGGCGTTGGGCATCTCGGGGATCGGTGAAAAAGAAAAATGGCTGACGGGGGCAAGCGGACGCGCGAGACAGATTGGGGGCAAAGGGAAAAATTGTGAAAGGGGTCACTGATCAAGGGAGGAGAAGGAGAGGCAAAAACAAGGTGTGGGTGCATGGCAAAATTGAAGGAGAAGGAGAGAAAAAAAAAAGTATGGGTGTAGGGCGAAATTGAAGGAGGGGAGTAGGGGATAAGGAGAATGCAAGATAAAAAGGGTGGAGAGGGCTACCATCGACCTCAAGCCAGAGCGGAGAGCTGGCAGCGGTGATGCCAAATCTAGGGTTGAAGTGGGTGAGTGAGAGGATAAGGATCTAAATGGTCACGAGAGGATTTGATGTGGGATAATAATGTACACAATGTTGTAAAAACAGTTAAAAAAAAAAATCTAATCTCTTCCAAAAAGAACCATAATCTTCAATAGCTCTTCAATACATAAAAAAACATGTCAACTTCTTACCCAAGCTAATCTGAAAGGAAATGTAAACTGAAATGAATACACAATCAAGGGTGTTGAATTCAAAGACTGCAATACAATGGACACAAGAATTACAAGAAATCAATGAATCAATAACAATACAAACATCTCATGTAATTCATCATCTATATATCCAATGAGGCCTTATTCCGATATTGATTTTACATTTGTCATCCTTTCTGCAGTTTGTTTGCAAGAGGGAACGATGAAGCTACACTCCAGAATGTTAAGATAGTTGAAGAAGAAGATAGAAGAGAGAAAGAAATGAGAGGTTGAGAGAACAATCTGTATTTTGTTATTCCTATTTCTGAATAATGAGCACTCTGCTTTACAACTTCAGTTTTATATCTCAATACCCCAATCTCATCAATCTAATCAATATAGCTAACTAAATAATCTAGGATTGTGACAAGTGTCAACAACCCAATACATCACATTCTTCATTAGACTCCTAACATCCCTCCTCAAACTCAAGATTGGGGCACCCAATCATGAGGTTGAAGCATTCAGGTTGTCAAAAAAACATCAATGCAGAGTGTAGACAACTCGTTGATGAAGATCTGTTGTTGTTACTCCAGCCACTAGTAGAAACTTAAAAAAAAACAAAGGCTTTTAGCATGAACCATGAGCTTTGGCAATCTAAACTCTTTTTGGATAGTATTCCTTGCAATTGGAGAGTGGAGTATCTGGTCACTGCTGCACACATAGTTTGCAATAAGAAAACCTCCTAGCATCTGGAGCTTGTATTTTACCACCATTATATCGTGTATACCATAGTACCCAAATCAACGTAGACTTGGTGTCCCCACCCTTATAAAAAATTCTCATATGGTAGCCTAACTGAATATCAAATATACTTCCACCATTACATAACCGAAGTACATAAAATCCTCGGAACTCATGTACAACAGTTTGAGTAAGAACACCAATTTTCGCCTTGTTGTCAGAGTTAAGAATTGGAAATGTCACTTGAATACACGGTTGTAAACCCACTGAAATCAACTGAGAGTCTGCACTTGCCTTGTCAATACATTCCAAAACTTGTTTTTCCTGCATCAGTTAAAAACATTTCATCTTCTGAAACAATGAAGTGAGAGAGAGAACCAAACTTGCGATCATAAGCTGTATGAATGTCAACATTAGAATTGCTCTGTAGGTGTTTCATGATTTTGCAGGATGACTAGACACACTAGTTTGAGTTGTTGATCCAATGTGCTTTGACATGATTCAGGGGTTGAAACTGAAGATTAAGCATTATGTATGTGATAACAATCAGCATCAAAATGATCATTCTGTGAACAAATTTGATGTGTAGGAAATTCAGTGGTAGAGAATTAAGATATGGAGATGGAGGTGAGCCAAGAACTCCTGGTGAAAATTGAGGAAGAGACTTGTAGATATTAAATCTTTCACCATTATTGTAACGAAACCGACCTTTACCACAATTCTTGGACTGAAAATTCCTATAAGCACCATTATAACCACCGGCATGTTTACCATTGCTCAACTGACCACAAATATAACCATTGTAAGCCACATTATCATAGCTAGATTGGGCTGAACTACAATTGGATTAAGCATGATAGCCACCATTGTAACCAGCAACACTATTACCATTTATATTACTTGATTGACTAGCATGAAAATGAGAGCTAGAGAGAGGAAAGGAATAACCTTTTATCTCAGATTTAGATACAACAGCAGACAAAAAAGGTGGCATTGGAACACAATCCACAATGGCTTCCTCAGTGAGCAATTGTGCATGAAAATCCTCAAGTGAAATGACATTCTCACGCCCTCTTATTACACATTTAAATGTGTTGTAGTCTACAGGGTGTCCAATCAAGGCAATGATCACAATGTCTTCATTAGGAAATGTAACACCAAGAATAGAAAGTGCATCCCTTGCTTCTATAATTCTTCGAAGATACTGGGAAATTGAATCAGATCCTTTCTTAATGTTGTACAAATCAGTCTTTAACGTGATGATACTAGTTCTTGTGATTGGTAAGAAAATTTTGTTTTGAAGACGAACCCACATCTCTTGAGAACTCTTGCTTCCAATCACATAAGAAATCGCAGATGAAGAAAGTGTTGCAGTAAGTAACAACATCAAAGCATGATCATGCATTTTCCACACTTTAAATTCATCTAATTCTGGTCTGGCAAATGACTCATATATGATTACAGAATGTGTAGAGGTTGCTGTGTACTGAGGAGGACAAGGATTCGATCCATCAATGAATCCCATAATGCCATGACCTTGTAGCATCATCTTCATCAAAAAATGCCACTGCAAGTAGTTGGAGTCATCTAATTATATACAAACAGAGGAAGAAACAGATGGAATCAACGATACAATTGGGGATTGCAAAAGTTGCAATTATGCAGCTGTAACCATAACTTTTGTTGTAGAAATGAACAACCCAATACATCACATTGCAGATAGAGCAGAGAAAAGAAAAAGAATCTTGATCAAGAATCAAGAAGTCGAACAAGAAATCAATCGAAGTATAGAAGAAATGAGCGGAACCATGTTGTTGGTAATTAGCCCATTCAACTTGACTGAAACCCATGTTGAAACGGATGAAAAAACAAACACCTGGTTGATCAGCTTTCTTTGAGGATAAAAAACAAACACCTGGTGTGCAAGAACTTGCAGAATGCAGAATGCAGAACGCACAGAACCAAGAAAATCACAACCCAGAAAATCAGAAAGAAATCACAGAGAGATCATAGAAGAAAGAAATAGGTAGCGGAAGCAAAGAACCAAGGATCGAAAAAGCTTGCAACGAAGCTTATTCAGCGATGATACCATGTTAAGATAGTTGAAGAAGAAGATAGAAGAAAGAAAGAAACGAGAGGTAGAGAGAACAATCTGTATTTTGTTATTCCTATTTCTGAATAATGAGCACTCTGCCCTACAACTTCAGTTTTACATCTCAATACCCCAATCTCATCAATCTAATCAATATAGCTAACTAACTAATCTAGGATTGTGACAAGTGTCAACAACCCAATACATCACATTCTTCGTTATACTCCTAACACGGAAGAGTAGACTCTTTCTGAAGCAAGAACATTGGATTTTGATTTCACAATTTCAAGAGAGCACTTTCCATCACGCTCTCAAGGACAAGGTTGGTTTCCTTGCTTCCTTTTATCCAACATTTACTTGGTTCAGTGTGATGTGTGTGCTATGTCAAACAACTTAAAGCAAACATCTTATTAATCACTTTTCTTTTCTTTTGCAGATGTATCATGCCCTGATTTGTAAATACAGGCTATTCTCGAGTTAGGATGTAAACACATCTTAATTATAAGTAACGAAAATCTATAAGCAAGATATGATGAGAAATAATAAAAATGACTTATTTATAACAAATTGTGTTATATATAATAAATGCTTGAGTTCATCGGAGCTTATGCATAATATTTATCAAATATCATTGTAAAAGGAATACTAATTTACAACTGGTTTGCGGATGAAGTAGGCATCTAAACAATAATAATTAATGTTGTACCATACTTCATTAATTCCGAAACTACCGAGCACCGGTTAACTTAATACATTCAGGGACCCACTGAAAGATTCATGTTGAGGCACCACTGTCAAAGCACAAGAGTTTCTCTTCAACCAAGAGGCCAATCACAACGCTATGCGTGTCAACATCAGAATAAAACTCCTAGAGTCCCACATCGACCATAGACAGATGCTGAAAACTCTCCTCAACTACAAAAGGAGACTATTCTCCTACAATTGATCCCTAATACCATTATTGTACTTAAACTCATCATTCGAACTCACTAGTAATGATTATACTTGAACCCATATGTTGTGTAAACCCTTCTTTATTAATGAGAACTTCTTTATCCCATGGACATAGCCCAACTTAGGGTGAACCACGTACATCTCATAAATAGTGTTCGGTTTCATAAATATTGTTCAGTTTCATAAATAGTGTCTGTCATGGACGCATGGGTCCTGCGCGTCAGGTTTTTTATATTTTCTTTTTATATTAAATTGTGTCATTTTCATTAAAATTTAAGTTCTTTTGTCTTTATATATATATATATATTAAAATTTAAGAGTTTTTCATTAATATTTAATTCTTTTCATCAAATAAAATTATAGTATGGTTTTTATTAAAATAAACTTATTCCAAGCCCTTTCATGAAAACTCCCTATATAAAAAAAAAATGCTTGAGTTCATTGGAGCTTATGCATATTATCAAATATCATGGTATAAGGAGTACTAATTTACAACTAGTTCGCGGATGAAGTAGGCATTTAAACGATAATAATTAATGTTTGTATCATACTTCATCAATACTGAAACTACACAGCATTGATCAACTCAATATATTTAGGGACACACTGAAGGATTTGTGTTGAGGCACCAATGCCGAAGCACAAGAGTTTCTCTTCAACTAGGAGGTCAATCATCACGCGACACGTGTCGACATCATAATAAAGTTCCTATAGTCCCACATCGACTACAAACGGAAGCCAAAGACTCTCCTCAACTATAAAAGGAGACAATTCTTCCACAATTAACCCCTAATACTAGTATTGTAGGTAAATTCATCATTAGAAGTCACTAATGATGACTATACTTGAACCTATTTATTGTGTAAACACTTTGCTATTAATTAGAACTTCTCTACCCCGTGGACGTAGCCCAACTTATGGTAAACCACGTACATGTTGTGTTTGTTTTCCTATCTCTATCTCTTTACATGTTAACCTTATTAGGTGATCGGAGCAACCTTGTGAAGGTCACAAACTTGACACTTTACGTTGTTCCAAAGTCTAACTGATTATGTGCATCAACAATTAATATATAGAAATTTTTGCACCCGTGCTTGAAAATCTACAAATTTTTTTACTCTATGTTCAAGACCTTCTCCATCATCTGGATAAATTAACAATTAGACGTTGAACACAACTTAGACTCAACATTTTTCTTGTTGCATGAAACTAAGGAATTGTAATGCAATGTAATTAAATATTAATAACCAAACGGTATTGAAAAATACGCAAGCTTCAACATAAATGAGATGAGGTATGATATTACAATATTTAAAAAATGGGGTATGAGATTGTAGTTGAATTCACAGTTGAGATAATTTGATGTAATTTACCCTAAATGTTAATAACCACTTGGCATTGAAAAATCATGCAAGCTTCAACAAAAATGAAGTTTCTTCCACCCAAACACCTAAATATTAATAACCACATAACAATTTTTAATCTTCTCCCGACTTCGTCTCTTTTTCACTCCACCAAACACTAGCGAAGTTTTTCTCGTGTGCTGAAGTGTTTTGTATAGTGGAGCTCAGGTTTGGAGGCTGAATCGCTGAAGATGATGCGGGCAACAATTGCTTCTTCTTCTTTGAAGGTTGGTTATTGTAAACCGAATGTGGTTACTTTCGGTACCCTTTGCGCCAACGGTAACAACACTTCAGCAATCCAATTGCTTAAGAAGATGGGAGAAGGGGCGTGCAAGCCTAACATAGTTATTTATAACACGATTATTGACAGTCTTTGTAAAGATACTCTAGTTGTGGATGCATTGAACCTCTTCTCAGAAATGATGAGTAAGGGTATTGCTCCAGATGTCATGACCTATACCTGTTTGATTCATGGAGTTTGCAAATTGCAGGATTGGAAAGAAGCTACAAGATTGTTGAATGAAATGGTGAGTAAACATATTTATTCCAAATGTGCGCACCTTCAGTGTCATGGTTGATACATTTTGTAAAGAGGGGATGGTCCAAGAAGCAAGGAGCGTGGTTGAAATGATGATTCAAAGAGATATTAACCTAGTACGATTACTTACAGGTCGCTTATGGATGGGTATTGTCTGCGAGGAGAAATGGACGAGGCGAAAAAGGTTTTTGAAGTAATGCTTAGCAAAGGCTGCATGGTCGATGGTCGTAGTTATAACATATTGATAAACGGCTATTGTAAGCTTAAAAGGATGGATGATGCCCGGATGCTTTTTCTGGAAATGTCTCATAGGGGAATTGTTCCAAATACGGTTACGTATAGTACTCTTATTGATGGATTTTGCAAGATGGGGAGAACACAAGATGCAATGAACTTGTTCTTTCAAATGTAAAAACCAACAATTTCCCAAGGCAGTTGAATTGTTGGAAGAGACGGAGGGAAAGAAGTTGGATTTTGATATTGTAACATACAATATTCTTATTCAAGGTTTGTGCAGAGCTGAAAAAGTTTCAAATGCATGGGATCTCTTTCAGAGTTTGTCATTAAAAGGAATTCAACCTGATGTCAGGTCATATAATATAATGATTTGTGGATTTTGTAATTTGGGGGGGGGGGGGGGGGGGGGGGGGGGGGGGGGGGGACATCATGGGCGGTGAGGCTTATTCAAGAAATGGTGGAGAGAGGTTTTTCTGCAGATGCATCAACTGCGGAGTTGATCGTTAATTTATTGTCTAAAGATGAAGTAGATCCTGCTTTGTTTGCATTTATAGAAAGTCTGCAATGAAACTAATTTGCATCTTTGCAGTTTAGACAAGTTTCAGGGCTTCCTTCCCGTGAATGCCGAGGGTGTTGTTCCACTGCTGTGTCCAATTCAGGTAGCCATTCATTCATGTATCGCCTAGTGATGTATGGTATGTGTTATTAATCTAATCTATCAAGTGATAAAGCAAGTTTTATGTTACACTTTTAAGATGATGATACCTGCAACCACTCATCTAGTAAAATACTCAAACAAACAGCCAATTAGAACACAACACCTTCAAAAGTACAATGAGTGATTATATTACGTACTTAAATTTATTGTAGCAGTTGGTGTTGTTTTGGTGTAATGTATAATTCATATCCACAAGGATCAAGAAAGAAGTTGAGATTACTCTTAACACACGTGATTATGCGTGATGTATTTTGAACTTAATACATGGTTTGGCTAACAATGTACATAATTTGCTAGGGTGGACAACTGCTTGCATCGAGAATGAGTGATTATATTAGGTACTTAAATTTATTGTAGCAAAGCTTGTATTGGCGTTATTTTGGTGTAAGAGCAATTTCAGTGTTGCTAATCTCCCAAGTGAATAGTAATTGCATTTAATGAATAGTAATTGCACAAGTGCATCTCCATCCCTAAATTGAATAGCTCATATTAAAATATTATTTTTAATAAAATAATGAAAAATAGTTTTATTTTTAAATTCTGATAATATAATAAAGATTTGTTGACAGTATTTGAAAATATTAAAGTGTGGTGTAAGGTAGAATAACATGGTTAAGTGTTTATAGATGAAAAGTTATAAATTTGTTATACTCTTTTGTTATAAACTTCTTGTTTAAGTGTGGTTGTTAAATCCTAGATTAGATTAAATTCTAGTTATTCTTTCCTGTTAGGACTTGTATTCCTTGAAGGAGAAAGAATTTTTTTTTCTCTCTTATTACTATAAATAAAGGCACTACGTATGGGGAATAACATATCCTCTACACAACCCTAGAAACACATCTCTCTCTATATTCTCTTTGTGCTGCCGGTCCCTTCTCCCTTGTCAGTTAAATATAGGTGGCAACGTGTTATCAGCACGCACCTACCGCTGCGCTTAGACCATTTACAAAAGAAATGCCAAATTATAAGAGTCAAATTACAATTGATGGCTAATGTGGCAATCTAAAGCCTTATGTCAAATTTTGTAATTCTCCAACTGAATTGTCAAATGTTATTTTATTATTTAAATAGAGCTTTAAATGATTGTAATTATTAAAAAAAATGTTGAAATAAATTTTTTATTGGTTGTTAGTGGAAGAGACCTCCTATTAAAATGATTTTAAAATAAATTTGACCTTGATGTCAAATTTGACATCAAATCACTAAGCCTTCAAATCCAGTCAACAAATAACATTTCGGTTGGAGAGATTTTTTATGTCAAATATGCACAGTGGCATTTCACCTAGGATTTTGACATCTCTTTTGGAGGTGCTCTTACGAATTTGACGTGGAAGTTTTCCGCATCAAACCAGTTCATCAATATCATCACGCAATCAAGTTCTTTCAAAACAACGATTTTTATCTCGATATTTTTGCAGCCCTGATAGCATGAACATTCACCATAATGCATGATCCAACTTTACGTTTTTTTTAATTTTAGATTCTACATAAATTGTGTATGCATTATATCCATAACTATTGAATTATGTAAATTGATTATTGCCATGAATTGCAACATATATCATGCATTAAATTTATATGTTAAATTAATATGAAAAAAAGGGTTTCGTAAAACCCTAACATTGCCGGCTCTATGTCGTGCTGCCGTGCAAGCCGCTAGCACCAGGCCAGTAACCTGCGTCGGCCTGGCGAGCCCAGCTTAACCACGGATTACAAGGTAGCAAGCCCATAACCAAATGGTGCGTTTTAGGCGCCATCGTCCTTATCTGAAACCCTCAGCCTGAAGCCCAGGTCCCCCCCTCGTTGATTTTTTTCGACGAAAACACAATTGGTAGTCATGTGATTTAGATAAAACTCATCGTTTTCCAGAAGAATTTCATGAGTTTTTCATAGGATTCACTCGAATCACTTTGGTTATCACTAACCCCAACGTTGATGTTCAACCTCCTTCGTCAAATCTTGGTTCTCCAATGAATCACGGCTTGCACCAACCATGAAACACTGCATGAAATGACACAGTTGACCATCTCCGACAGATCCTCACACCTAGCGCCGTTAGGATGGCCTAAAGATCCAAAATCGAGTCTTAACGGGGCCTCAAATTCCTTTAGTCCATCTCGCACAACACTCTTTTGTTGGGCCTGGTTATGCCCATAACCTTGATCCACATCACTAGCCCTTTAGGCTTTGTTAATAACCTGGCCCGAGAACTAGTTGAGCCCTTCTGGGCTCTTGCCGTCTCTCCCATGCACCGTGTCACATATAATCACAGCCTTTGTTGGTGCATGTGTGTTTGTGTCGCACCGGATCTTAACCCAAGTGGCTGTTGTGGTTTTCCTACGCTGCGCCTATGCTTTGGGCTTGGCCTTTTTGCAGTCTACCCAAATTTATTTTGGATTGATCAGCTCGTGCCAAACCCTCAGCCCAATTTTTTGGCTTGGACCACGGTACAAATTTACTCAACCCACCTGCAGGTTTATGGTCCCTGTTTTTGGACCCCGAGTTTAATTGTTTAATTTTTTTTAAACAATTTGGGTTTTATAATTTTTCACCCACACTTTAAATTTGGCCTGAAGTCCAAATAATTAATTCAATTATAATTATAGACCTAAAGTTCTATTTGCATATTTTATTGTTGCATATTTCTGTATATATATTTATGTTTGTCAGCACGAACATATGAACCTGAAGTTCATAATTGTTTCTAGAAACATGCCTTGTTTGAAAATCTGAAGTTTTCCTTAAAAACATCATCTATGAAATCCCGAAGCATTTTCATGTGAATTTAAACCAATACATGTCTATTGGAACCTGAATGTTCTACTCCTATGTGAATGGATTGATTTTTTTCTCCATTAAACTAACCACATCTTGGACATTTATTTTGTGATAGGAACATGTCGAATTTGAACAAACTTGACTTCATCGCTTTAAAGGTCTATGGAATGAACTACCACAAGTAAGTCGAAGATGTGAAGCTTCACCACACTGTAAAGAATTTGCGTTCTGCCATTGAAGATGAAACAGATAACCCGGTTAGCGAAGCTGAGAAAGCCACTTCCATGATCTTCATCCGAAGACACATTCATGATGCACTGCAAACCGAGTACCTTGTTGAGGAGGATCTACAAGCACTCTGGGTCGCTTTAGCTGATCGCTTTAATCACCAAAAGGACATCTTCTTGCCTAAAGCAAGACATGACTGGCAGCATTTGTGCTTCCAAGACTTTAAGTCTGTGAAGAATCTGATCACTTTTCAAGTTCTGTAACAAGACCTTGACCGATGATGATATCTTAGAAAAAACTTATTCAACCTTCCCTACTACTAATATTGTCCTGCAGCAACATTATAAGGCTCATAAGTTCACTAAGTTTTCAGATTTGATCTCTGTTTTACTTCTTGCTGAAAAGCAGAATCAGCTGTTGATGAAGAATCATAAAGCTCGACCTACTGGTGTGCTTGAATTACATCATAGCACAAAAAAACACCCAAAATGCCAAAATAGGCGTGGTAGGGTGGCCAGAAGCTACCCTGTCAAGGTCAACAGAGCCTAGGCCTGTCTAAGGGAGGAAACCGAGCCCAGAAATGCCCTAATCTCGCTTTTAAGGCCCCCAAACTTCAAGAATGAGGGCAAAGTGCTTGAAACCATGGATACAGACATGTATTATCGATGTGGTTCAAAGGATCATTTGTCCCGTGTTTGCCGAGCTCCCTAGAAGGTTGTAAGGTTGTAACTGAATATCATTCTCGTTGTATGAAGTTTGATCAAACTTTGCGCAAGTGGATGAACCAGAGAGTACCAAGATTGAGTTTTCTGACTTTCAAGAAGCTATTACCCTTATGGAATTTTAGAATCTTAGACATAAACTGTTTTTCTAGTTGAAATTTAGACAATGGGGCCGAATTCCACCTAGTGGCCAAACCCCCATTGTGTTTTTGGTTAAATTTTGAACAATTTTCCTTTATGTTTGGATTATTTGTTTGTGATTTGTTTTTGGATATTAAGTTTTAATTAATTACCATCCTTGAATACTTAAATTATTTTGAATGGATTTTGTTTCAAGAACTTTTATTCATGTGACCAATTCAAAGTAATTTTTATTTCTAGGTATGACTAGTGGGAAAGTTAGTTGTCTGGTAGATAGTGCAACCACACACACAGTTTTGCATGAACACATCTATTTCACTAACATCATACCTAAGAATGCACCGTTGACAACCCTCTCAGGCCCATCCAACCTTATCGAAGGATACGGTAAGACATGTATAATGTTGCCCAATGGTACAATTTTGACCATTGATGAGACACTTTATTCTCCACCTTCCGGAAGAACGTTGTTGAGTTTCAAGGACATTAGAGATAAAAATTACCACGCTGAAACATATGTAGAAAATGGAGTTGAGTTTTTGTGCATAACTTCCTACGAATATGGCCAGAAACGTATTTTAGAGAAGATAGAGTGTATCCCAAGTGGTCTGTATACTATGACCATAGGCCCTATAGAAAGCCACTATGTGGCCAACCCTACCTCTAGGACCGTGCATGAAATTACACTTTAGAATGATTGTTTGGGACACCCTGAACGAACAACAATGCGCTATATCTTCAAATCATCACACGGGCATCTACTAG